CATAGCGTGGTGTGTGTTTCTCCGCTAAGACAGAGCAAGAATCATGACTGTGGGAGGTAGTTGCCTGTAGTGGCTTGCGGTCTCCAGCGGCGAGGGGACTTGCTGGACCAGTTACAGGTGCTTCAACAGGTGTTTCTCTCCTACTGCCTCAGTCCGCTCCGGCCGTATTGGGCACGCATACACCGTTTATGTATCTGGCATTGCAACCTTAAGTTTAACACCGCGGGTGGGCATGATTCTGAGCCAGTTCAATTCAATCCTCGTTACAAAACATTTCCTTCAGATCTGTTTTTATAATCCATTTACTTAAGAGTTTCTTCTAGTGGTAACATTCTAGATCTTAATTCTCAGGGGATACCCTGTTTGAATCTTGCCAGATTTACTGGTTAGCGTAACTAAGAATTTACGTAGTTATCCTCAGTTTTACCTTGAAAATGCAGGGATAGCACCTTTAAATACGTATTACTACAATCGTTTCCTTAGATATTCTTACTTTGCATCGACACTATATGATTTCTGAAATTGAAACAGTATCGTTAAATAACCTAAAATCAATCCATATATTAGTTTTACAGAGTAAAAGCATGTAAATACTCCCTTCGGTCAGACACAGTATTCACGAACTCATATTTATTATAGGCTACATGCATGTGTAATAAGCATCGCGAGAAAGCAAATACGACCAGAAAAAGCATTTTAAGCAAAGCATACAGAGAACGTGCTCGTCTCTTCTATTTGAAAATGAAGACAGCCACTAAAACGTAGTAAAAACATATATTTTATAACCTGATAGATGACAACGCAAAACATAATTTGCCCATAACTATATCAGAACATTGCCACATAATTCCAGAATATTATACTGTTTAAAAGTTCTATTTTTTTTTCTCCATAATGAAATGACCGTCTGAAACTACATGAACTTTATACATTTCAGGCTGGAAAACATGTAGACTTTTACGTTCGTGGAGTACAGTTGTCGTTTCGATATCAAAATTGTGAAGGAGGTATGAAGAGGACAGATTAGTTGATAAGGCTCACTTGAGAACTCAGACGCTGAAACATTTGGTGTAACCCCTAAGGACGGGCACCAGAGACTGGGGCGGTGGTCCTTGAGTGTCGAAAGAACAGTATTCTCGCGGGAATGGCACGTAATGCTCCAGTGATTCCATTAACACAAAATGTGAGATCGTAAAAATGTAACATGAGGCACTTCCTCCTGCGGCAAACTAAATAATAAAAAAAGGAAGCTTGGGATTTCGCAAAGAGACCCTCTAAACAGCGTTGTCTTTTCACAGAGGTCCCTAATTGTATCACTGCTCATTTACTTCGAA